CTTTAAAACTAAAAAAACACATCTTCGTTACTCACCATTGGTAAGTTTATCTTCGATACAATATCTGGGTGAATATTTATTATTCTTCGAACTAAAAGAATTTCAAACGGTTAGTTACAAAAGCCAATATATAATTGTATGAAATCTTTCGAATTTATATGAATTAAACATATTATTTGCTTTTTGTTGTTGCTTCTTTGGTATAAAACGCACAAGTCCCGTGGTATCATTGAACCAGCCCTTCTGGGTATGTATGTATGTTTACACAATCAAACGATTCTTTTGCGAAAACAAATTGCAATTATGACCACGTTCGTCACCCAACAGTTTGTCATAAATTTGAGTTTGTACTTTTCGATATTTACATAACGTTCCCGGAAACATGACGCTGGACCTAGTTGATATTTTCAATTAATGTAATCGAAATCTGGTCGCACGTTATACACTATAATTTACATAATTATTCGTAATACCCCAAATAATATACTCCAAATTGCAATTAAAGATGCATTCTCGTGTACGTATGCATAATTGCATATACATAATTGAATCTTTATTTTTGTTATAACCAAAGTCTTATCAAATCAAAGTGAAAAATACAATAAAATATATATGTATTTGAAGCTGACATGCATAATGCATCAATTCAATAAGTCATATATAGCCATAATGATCTAGCACAAACAACAAATGCGACCGTCTGAAGTTATCATAATATGTGAAGATATTACAATCATATTATTTTAATTTTCTTCTTTTTGATCAATTAAATTACAATAACAAACATGAACCAAATTCAATGAATAGTTTTTATTCTTGTGTTTTTAAATTTACGTTTAAATATCTATGTTAAGAAAAAGAAATCTTATTATTATGTATCTAAATTAAGAACTTGGTAAATATTATATGAAGCTGTCACAAAAATTTTAAAATTAAGAACATAATTTGCCATTTGTTTTTAGTAATTCATAACATTATTTCTTAATATTTTTACTAAAAATTAGAATTTTTGGTCAACTTCGCCATCTATTTCCACAGCTATATACCACCATCAATGGGTCAGCTCTTTCATTATATATTATGTTACAGATCGAGGTACTTTTCACTATCTGACCATCTTTTCTTGTTCTGTTAACTCAACTATCAGACCACCTAGCTAAGGACTGTACTAAACGAACCAATTCTCACAAAAAATAGTCTGGTTTAAATTTCTGACTAGTTTGTAATTTAACATAGACTTTATACACATGTGAAAAGCCATAGACGTGTCAAAGTTGACCAAACAACAAAATTGTGATTATCTTACTATAATATCAGAGAAATAACGTTATGAATTCTTAATACAAATTATGCTCTTAATTTAGATATAATCATTAAACAAATAAAACCTTGAATTTTATTTTGTTTCCAGCAATATCTTAACCTAAAAATTCGATGATTATCCCAACTATTTTTCTCTTTTCTTTTGAAAAAAAAAAAAATTGTACTCCTCCGCATTAATTACAAGAGAGACACACAATAAGAGGGGCCAAGATACACGAGATTCCATATTTTTCATGTTTATATTTCGTACGTAACTGTTTAGAGATATATGTACCATAACGGACAATTATTTATTTGAACATTTGCGTCAAAAAGCAAAGTACTCTTTACTTCATCCCAACACTATGCGTATGTATGTTAGTGTATGGACCGAGAGGACCATATTAAATGTATATAGTCTATATGGATAGACACATGGGCTACACCTATGAATATTACAATTATTTCATCAAAAGTAAAGTACTCCCTAACGATATACATATACATTCATTATTGTTATTTAAATCCTCTTTGGTCAAAAGGATAGTGGTCGACTATATATATATAGCCAAAGAGGAGCGAGAAAAATCAAAGTCGTGAGTTCAGAAGCTATAGCCATTTTTTAAAAAAAGATAAGAAAATGGAGAGTTTAACTTTAGAGATTGCCAAGACCATTTGGTGGATATTAGTTATAGCAGTGTTGGGTTTAGGGTTTTGGGTTTACGGTAAAGCGATTGCAGAGCTGTGGAGGGTGCGGAGGAGGCTTGCGGTGCAAGGTGTGAAGGGTCCACCACCGTCGCTATTCTGTGGCAACGTGCCGGAGATGCAAAGAATTCAGTCACAAACAACGATCAATTCTAAACAATATTCCGGTGATAATATTATTGCTCATGACTACACTTCTTCTCTCTTTCCCTATCTCGACCATTGGCGAAAGCAATACGGTATGGTCTTTAATCTCATAACTTACTTTAGATTTTGTTTTCTTTCCGTTCGAGTATAAACGAAATTTGTAAATAGTGAGCGAAAAACGCATTAATCTACATAGGACTTTAATTGCT